TGAAATGCATTTCTTTATGGTCGTTAATTATTGTGATACATAGTATAAAATATGGCACGTAATAGTATCATGCTAATATAAATATGGTATGGACGTATGGTACTTACAGTACGTAATCGTTGTTCGTATAGTATGCGTGATTGGTAAATTTGGTACTGTTGGTGGGAAAACATAGTATCATATAATGGGGAAGATAGTACGTAACCTTCATCTGAATAGTATGGGTGATAGGTAAATTTGGTACTGTTGGTGGGAAAACATAGTATAATATAATGGGGAAGACAGTACGTAACCATTATTCGGATACGTACAAGCAGGTATATCAATTCACGATTAACTCAATTCCCTCGTTTGATGAGGACTTTGACTTGTACGATGCGTGTAATGCTCCGCCCGATGTCTTTGTTAATGCAGCTGATTGAGAACTAGACCAGGACGTAGAAAGACAAAAAGAATTCATTCACAAGTGCAGTTCAGGTTTTACTGTTGCCCACACCATGGTTACTCCCATTGGTGTGAACCATTTGAAGTTGGGCAAACTTTTTCCAACTCAAATCGTGAAGAAAATGAAGCTACAAGTGCGTCGATGAACCAAGTCCATCGAGAAAGTGAAGTGAAGAATTGCAATTCTGAAGGTGGAGTAGTTCATAGTTTGATAGTGTTGAATCTAGTAATATTTGCAGTCTACATGCTATGTAAAACCTATGTACTGTTGTTTAATTAGTGAACATAAGAGTACAATGTATAAGCTGGTAAAGTTAGGGTTATTCGTGAATATAGTACGCTTTGTACACATGTGAAGTACAAGTGATTCGTGACTATAGTACGCTTTGTTCACTGATAAAGTATATGTCTGTCATTCATATAGTATTGTTACACTCTATATATTATTGTCGGGCCAATGCATCCATATGATCGCATTTGAAGACACAACTCTTCAGTTTAAGACTATTAAGAATGAATGGAGACAATGTGGGAGTTGATCAATATCGATTATGGTAACAATTGAGGAAAATATTAGTTTTACACTTGAGCATTGTAGGCTTGTATGAATATATTGTATAGTATATGAGTATCATGTATGAAATTCAACATATTTATGGGATCTTGTATTCCAAACGCAACAATAATGCTCACCTACCTTAAAATAATCATCTAAAACATAATTTATGCATCTCCCGTACTTATTGATCATTAAAGCGTCAATGAAATTGGTACAATTCAATTCATCAAAAAATATGGTACGCTTTGTGTTCATCAAGTAAGTACAATGAATGCACATGTGAAGTACAAGTGATTCGTGACTATAGTACGCTTTGTTCACTGATAAAGTATATGTTTGTCATTCATATAGTATTGTTACACTCTATATATTATTTCCGGGCCAATGCATCCATATGATCGCATTTTAAGACACAACTCTTCAGTTTAAGACTATTAAGAATGAATGGAGACAGTGTGGGAGTTGATCAATATCGATTATGGTAACAATTGAGGAAAATATTAGTTTTATACTTGAGCATTATAGACTTGTCTTAAAATAATCATCTAAAACATAATTTATGCATCTCCCGTACTTATTGATCATTAAAGCGTCAATGAAATTGGTACAATTCAATTCATCAAAAAATATGGTACGCTTTGTTCATCAAGTAAGTACAATGAATACACATGTGAAGTACAAGTGATTCGTGACTATAGTACGCTTTGTTCACTGATAAAGTATATGTTTGCCATTCATATAGTATTGTTACACTCTATATATTATTGTTGGGCCAATGCATCCATATGATCGCATTTTAAGACACAACTCTTCAGTTTAAGACTATTAAGAATGAATAGGAACAATGTGGGAGTCGATCAACATCGATTATGGTAAGTTTTTCGTGAATACACATGTGAAGTACGCTTTGTTCATCAAGTAAGTACAAGTCTAGTGTTGACAAAGTATCTTCGAATAGACTAGAAAGTATTTGTTGCTCATTTTTATGGTACGCTTATATTCTTTATACAAACTAATTAATCGCAAAATAAAGTACCATGTGTTCAAAAGGTAAGTACATTTCATCGAAACATATAGTACAATGTATACAATGGAAAAGTACGAGTAGAGCTAATCAATAGTATTATTAGCTCTACAACAAAAGGACAGATTGTTTATGGCACAAAAAACACATTCATCTATTTGAAAAACGATCGGTGAGCACCTACAGCCTATTGATAGCTTACTGCAATCTTCTTTTACATCAATTCCTGCAATTACATACACATAAAACTACAATTATAACAAATACAAAGTACTATAAAGTTCAACTGCTAGTACTTCCAGTAATTTCGTTCAATACCATCCAAATGCACTAGCAATACCATTGTTGCATATGACACATACTACACTACAATCAAACATTATACTATTCGAATGCACTAGCAATATCACTCAACAGCACTAGCAATACTATTGTCGCATATGACTTATACTACAGAACCACCAAACATTATACTTCAAGTACCCTGTGTCAATACCATCTAAATGCACTATTAATACCATTACTGCGCATGACACATACTATAGAACCAGTACGAAAAATACAATAAGCCTCTTTCCCATATCATAAGAATAATACCCAAGAGAAAACTATTACAAAATCATGAAATTCGACAACAAATAAATGATCTTTGCAAACCCAAACAACAGAACAACAGATATTGGAACCGATTTAATGATTAGGGGAAACACCGAATAAAGTCGAGGCATAATACCCATGAGTGGATATGTTCAAAATCATGCAATTCTATAACAAATTAACCTTTTGCAAGCTCAAGCAACACCCAAATGGGTCTGTTTCCAATAAAATGAAAAAAAAAAAAAATCAAACCTTGTTGTTTACCATGCTTCACCATTGTCTATAAATGAGTTTGTTTATTTTTATTTTTCCTTTCGCTTTATTATTTTTCTGCGTTTTGTTGATTCTTCGTGCTTCGTAATTTCTTCGTTCTTTGTTGTTTCTTTGTTCTTCGTTTCTTTGTTCTTCGTTTCTTCTCTGTTTCTTCTTGGTCTGAAAATGGGTATAAACTGGCAAAGAGCGTGTAATACAAACGGCGCGTTGGAAGTTGAAAAGAAGTTATGTAAAATTAATATAAAGTAAATGGTATTTTAGTATTTGCACATTTTATTAGGGACTGATCTGCATGTTAGGCGCGTGAGTAGGGACTGAATTGCTTGGGGAAACTACCTAGGGACTGATCTGTGTTTTGAGTTTTGGATTAGGGATTTATCTGTAGTTTCCCCTTTCATAATTCATATTTGAGTGTCGGGAGTTTGGCCTTGCTAAACTGGCTGAAAAGTATGGACCGATTTTGAATCATAAATTTATATAAATAATTATTTACTAAACACACATTAACATAAATGTGTATTATTATATATAGATTAATGATATAAAATTATATGATGATTTCATCCGACTTAGGTTGTACAAAACTGTTTACCATTTCGAATTGCTGGTGGGTTTATTATTAATTGCTAGTTAGTTATCATGTAAAATATTCGTGATTTGATGATATGTAATCATTTTCACTTTAAAAAGTTAAGTAGGCTACTACCTATATATTGTTTACAACATGCAATAACCTGCAATATATTTCCCTATATTTTAGAGGATTGCAATTGCTTAACTTTTTATATTGGGTGCAAATTTAGACCGGATGGTCTGTTTTAATAGGAAAATCGGATGCCATAGGATAATTGACACGTGGATAGTTTAAATAAAAATATAATTAGAATTCTAATAATTGGTAAAGTAAAAAAGAAAATGAAAAAAGAAAACCCCAGCAGAACCTATAACCCTCTACCCTAATTATAATCAGCGTGATTTATTAAGAGTGTCACATATCAAAAAATTAGTGAAATCCGATTTATATTAAATATTGGTTGATCCGCTCAGAATTTAATCTCTTTTATATTTATTTAATATCACAAATTTGAGCAACTTTCAAATTCTTTTTGGATGGTTTTCAATTCATGAATTTTTGTTATTAGTCAAAAATATTTCAAAACTTGTATTTTACCCCCAAGAAAAGATCTCTAGAGAATAATTTGGTCTTTGAATATCTTATAATTAAAATGTTTCAAATAGATTATAAAGCTAAACTATTTATAATTGTTATATGTTATGGAAAACCTGCACCATACTCATTATTTTACTTGTAAGTAAAATCATGCATAGTTGTTTTATGTTTTCAATTTATTCTATGCTACAATGATTAGATGTTGTTTACTAATTATAAGCATACAAACTAACACACACATTTACATTGGTGTGTAGATTAACGATAAGACTCCACTCAATGTAACCTTCATCCGGTGTAGTATATAAATAACCCATTTTTTTTTTCTTGCTTCAGTTATTCTTCTTTTACCAATTGACGTTATTATCATGGGAGGGGATTTCATACAAGTTTTTATGTATTTAATTCATGAACATCTTGTGCAAACAATTATCCAAGATTAATATATCTATCTAAAGATTCATTTTTTTAATAAATTAAACCGAATAAGTTTATTCAACTTCAACCCGAAAAATAAAAGACTAATAAGTCTACAAGTTGGATTGGATTCATGATGTAAATGAGCCGAGTCGGCTCATGAGTTCAAGTTTAACTCGAATTTTGACGAGCTCGAGCTTGAGCTCATCTTTAGTTGTTCATGAGCTTATGAGTTGAGCTCGAGCTCGATAGGCTCGGCTCGCTCGAGTTCGAGCTTATTAAATGAAAGCTCGATGAGCTTGAGCTCGCCAAATTTGACTTGAGCTTGAAAAATTTGGTGAACGAAAAATCTGGTGAATTCAGCTTAAGCTCGACTGATTTACACGCCTAGTTGGAACAACGGAAAAAATAAATAAATCTATTATAACCAAAAAAATAGAATTTTCTCAAAAGATTTTTGGTGATTAAAGATCTTTTTTTTTGATAATTTGGTGATTAAAGATCTTATAACTAAGATAAGATGTTTCAAATAGATTATAATGAAAAACATGACATAATATCAAAATGAAATATACACAATACTCAATACTCATTAGTCATACACATATATAGAAATAACTTGACACTAAAAGGAAGCCTAGCTAGGATATCATCAAGAAACACGTCGGAGATGATGACCGGAAAGTTGAGGAGCCGCCACCGCCGGTGAAAAAATGACCTCCCAAATTTCGGAAAAAGCTTGAACGATGATTCCATGGTAATGCCTTGAATTCAACGACAGAAAACACTGTAGCAGCTGCTCCAATTCTTTCTCCTCGAACATCTGCTTCTCCACTATCATTTCCATCATCGATTCCTTGAAATCCTCGTACGGCTCGTCTGACCTCTTCACCACCGCGAAGCTCTCCTTCACTTTCCCCTCCACCGTACACGGTATCAGTTTCTTGAACACCGACAGCCTCGCCGCCGTCTCCCCCTCCGCCGCCGCCGCCCGCTTCGTTCGTGTCTTGGAGACCGCTCCTCTCCTTTTGCTCCGCCTGTGAGGGTTGAACGACGACGATTCCGACGAGGAGACGAGGGTTTCGGTTTCCTCCTCGTCCATTTGGCCGCCTGCGGCGGCGGCGGCAGCGGCGCCGCCGCCTTCGCTGCTGAACCAGCCGCTGTCGGCTGAGGAAGTGCTGAGGCGGAGCCTGCTGGGGATGTTCTTCTTCTTCTTCTTCCTCCTGCGACTACTGTTTCTCTCGGCGGAAGAAGACGCCAGCGGCGGCGACGGCGGGGTTAAAGCGAGGTCGTCGGCGGCGGAGTTGTATATTTTGAGGCGGGGTTTATTAGGCTGGTGGTGGTGGTGGTGGGCCGTCTCGGCGTCGACAACATGCCATTTCTCTTCCTTTTGCCACTTGAATTTCAGCGGCGGTAGAGAACCCGTGGCGGGGCCGGCGGAAATGAAGGCGGCGGCGCTACGGAGGGGTTTGTGGTCTGGTGGAAGGGAGAAACGGAGGGTGGAGAATGAAGGGACAGGATTTTGCGGAAGGATGGAGGGGTCAGTTGAACGGCAAGATTGCAGAGTGGTGGCGATCGCTCTGCAAATCCTCAACTTCAAACGTTTCGCCATTGTTGTCTGAATGTAAGAAGTGTGGTGGAGATGTTTGATGAAATGAAGTTTATATATATATATATATATATATATTATAAGTATATATATATATGGGGATTATTAGCGTATATATATTATATTACGTATATATTATTATTATTACTAGTACTACAACTACACCCGTGCGATGCACGGTAAATACATATTTCTAATTGATGATTGAAAAGAAATATATGAATATATATTTGAATATATACAAATACATAGATCTTTCATCTCATTATATATATATATATATATATATGAATATATAAGATGTATCATGACAATTACATATTTTGACTATCTAACAATCAAAGTTAACGCCTAAATGGTCACACATAATAAACTGTATATATGTTCCAATACGAAGAGTAATTGTTCCAGGGTAACTCTTGCAGTACCTTTTGCCTCTTCATACCCCAGTGATTTTGACCATGATTCCCCTTAATCATTTGTTGTACTTCACTTGCTCTCTCTCTCTCACACACACTCTCTGCCCCACACACATATGCACACAATGGAGTTCTGAAGAGTAAATTTTAGAGGAAATGAGCCTGTGTATTCAAGGGATTTTTTAGGAGCAAATCTCACCTGAGAAAAACAACGTGTGAAAAAATCAAGAAAAGTAAATGGAATCTTTATTTTTTCAATAGAGAATTAAAGTAAATGAATAGAAACAAATTGCAGAACAGCAGACCTTTCTTGGAGAGGCTGAAGGCTAAGGATGTGAATCCATGTTATCCGCAGATAATTTTCAATCTGCTCTTTGACATTTGCCTTTTTCATTCGTCGTCCTCATTGAAAGAAATTTGCAGAAAATACCTGAAGTTTTCAAGATAGTTTGACGTTATCTTATTGTAAATGTCACGTATGTCAGTTGAAAAAAATAACGTGATACAAACATAAGGGATCAACTTATGGCGTTTTAGAGGATAAGTTTCGCTAGAATCATAACTCCAACACCACTAAGCACATGCTGCATAAATCTGAAAACATCCGAGATTTAAAAATTGAATTCGTAGAGCAATTTTATGTGTAAAAAATTGTGAAACTCGAACATAAATGATTATGAGAAGCACAATATTTTAATAACATAGTTACTACAATCACAACTCCTACACCCTAAAAATAGAAGCAAATGGGAAAACTACTTAGCATTCTTTTTGTCTCTGTACTGCTTATTAATCAAGCACAAAACAAAGATCCATTTACAAAGACTGAACAAACTGTGAAAAAATTAAAATTCTTAGCAACTCAGAAAAGACCGACCGATAAGCCGCATGGGAAAGAGGGAAACAGTCGAAACTTCAGACGACTCCACACTGAGGAATTTAGTTAGGGAAAAAAAATTCGTAAAATTATTAGCAACTCTGAAAAAATCCACATAAAACAGCCTTTAGGTGTGAACGATTGCTGCCGTTATTTGCATGAAAACCAATGAAGAAGTCAATAATATAGTTTATAGTATCTTAGAGTTAATAATGTTAATCAGTAGGATGTATACCTTCATCTTATTAGCACAGGAAATTCACATTTATTTATCTGCTTATTTATTTCGAAAACATAGAAGTATTATTATATGCCTAAAATTCAGCACAAATATACAAATTCATAGTACATGTGAAGAGTGGAAGTAAAGAATAAATATACAGATTCATATTATTATAATTATCATTAAAGACTCAAGCACAACTTGATAGGAAAAAATGTTAAATTACAGAATTGTATGACTGTCTCTGATAGACCGGCTGCAGTGGTTCGTCACTACGGTTTTTCAG